TCACCGTATTGCCCTGCACCATCCACGGCGGTGCAGTACAAACAGCCAGCTCCTTCTCGCCGAAATGCGAGTTGATGATCAGCACACTGAAATCACCAGCATCGCGAATCCGAAATATCTGTCCCAGCTGCCACCACAAGTCCGCGTCTGGCCCTGTGGGAAACTGGTACCGCTGGGTCGCCCATCCGTCGGCCACCCCACTGTTGTCCGTCACGTAAATGACTCGTTCAGAGGTGGTTTGTGCAGCAAATAACAGCGCCCTCAGCTCGCCCCGCGGGACTGTCTGGCTCTTTCCCCACTCGGACAGGTACCAAACTAGATATCTGCACAGTTGCGACTCCAATCCGCCTGAACACAAAAATGCTGGAGTCGGCTCCACCAGTGGCATCACCACAAATGTAAGTCGGTTGCTGCTGCAGGCCCTGGCCGACAGACTCCGTTGAAAGCTCGGTCCCTGGAATACCCACAGCAACCCGGAGGAGGAGGAGGAGGAGGAGGAGGAGGATGAGGAGGAGGAGGAGAATAATATCACAACCCGCCACTTGGGGCCCACGTGTGACGCTCCCGGGGCGCTGTTCAGGTTGTTTTGGGGCCCTCTCTTTCGGGGCCTTCCTTGCAGCCTTGGAGGACCTTTTGAGGCCATCTTTGAAGCTATCGGTCAAAGGGCGTTCTTGGGCCGATCTTGGGTGCTCTTGGGGCGCTGTTGGGGTCGTTTTGGTTTGTCTTGCCCCTCTTGGGGCTTTCTTGGGCCATGTTGGGGCAACCTTGAGGCCTCACAGAAGGCAGTGGAAGCGAAACGGCGAGGAGACACACATCATTCATTTCCCGAAGGGAAGGAGTTTGGTCGTTTGGTGGGGTTTTGAATGGGGGCTCCGAGAGCACTTGGAACCGTCTTCCTTCGTCGGGCTTCTTGGAGGTATGTTGGAAGCTATCTTGGACCAGCTTCGGCCTTGAGCCGCCTTGAAGGCCATCCTGGAACATCGGAGGCCATCTTGGGCGAGAGAGGACCTGTCAACTCGCGTACCTTCCCCCCAACAAAAGCAACTTCAGGGAGGGGACGGGGAGGGCATTCCTCCCGAAGGGATGAAGGGCTTTGGAACAGGAAAGAAAGAACGAGGAGCCTCATCGACCAACGGTACAGCTCAGGCACCACGATTCTGCTGATGGGCCAGCTCGCGGTTCCTGGTGATCATCGGAGGACCATCCTTCACATCAGTGGTTTCTGCCAATTCGCACGCGTACGACAGGGTCAGGTAGTTGCCCTGCCAGACCGACAAACAAGCCGCGGAGATGCGCACCTAGCATAGGTGCCGACCGTGTCTATCAGGTCCTGCCCAACATATGATCGACATGGTCATGGCTGGACTTCCAGCCGTCGCATCACCGCCACCGCCATTGGATCTGCGCGCAGCGCAGCGTCTGGACTCACAGGGGTCGAAGTTGACACCGATGAGATGTGCGGCATCTGTTTGGACCACTACATCAATCTGGATATCGTTGTCATCCCTCGGTGTGGGCACCGCTTCCATCAGAGCTGTGCCGACGCCTTGGTTGCCATCATTTGCTACAGCAGCGCGAGCAGTGTAATCTACTTTCCGTGACGACCAGGCCCGAGCACCATTGTCGCAATGCCCAACATAATGTAGGCTCAACACTTGGTGGCGCCCAAGGTCACGCACGTCCAAATGGCAGCCGCGCTCCGCGAAGCGCCTGGGGTGGACGTGTTTTCTGGCGCCGACGGCGTCCTGATCGCGCCGTGAGACGCACGGATCGGCGAGATCACTCCCAGCACCCTTGCATCCACCTGGGGACAGCCGTCGCCGCAAAGCTCACCGCAGGATGGTGAGGCCGACGTGCTTCCCTGCTGGTCAACCGCCAGCTCAGCAAACGAGCCTGCCACTCAGGTGGATCACAGTCGCACCCAGCTCCTTTCATGTCAGCTCAGCGTCATCGTGGACCCAGGTGCGTGGACCAACCTCACGGGCGAGAAGCCTGCGTGCCAGTTGCGCCGCCCAGCCGTAGAGGCAGGGCACCCGCCGCAGCCGCCCTTCATGAGTAAGCCCCTGATCATCCAGGGAGTGGGCGACGGGCCCCAAGAGTGCATCCATCAGGTGAGCGGCCCCATTGCCGTCGCGGATGAACAGGGTAAAGCTACCATCCACAGCTTCCCATCACCAATCGCCATAGGATCGGTGACCTGCCTAGCCTGATTGGCATAAACAGCATGGAGTCCATGCGCGCGATCCTGGACGTGGATTAGCGCGAGTTGATCTCGCCGGCGGCGACGACCTCAGATCCACTGGCCTGCAGGCGCGGTCCGCATCCCATTGCAGAAGGCTCTCAGCGGACGCCTGCTTTTGGTCATCGACGACTTCGAGTGAGCAAGCTGCAGGCGGCGCGCCCGACCGCAGCGTTCGGTTGCGCGCCCGTGCCGACGAGGCGGAGGCGGAGGCAGGGGGCGCGACGCCGGTGGTCGAACCTTGGCTCTCAGTGAGCTGGGGCCCCTTCGAGGGGCGCCCCGGCTCTCCTAGCCGAGGAACCAGCGTCGCGTTAGATCTCGCGCCCTCATGCGCCAGAGCTCTTGAGCGGCGCGGGTGGCAGCGACGGACGCTCCATCCCGCGCGCGCCGTGCGCGCGTCATCTATCGAAATTACTATTCATTGGCTTACGGCATGGCGTACCCGCACCCGATTCGGCACACCCTCACACGCTGCGAGGCCCCATAGGGAGCTCCACCGAAGGCCCCAGCGGCAGGGTCCGCATGGCGTACCCGCACCCCCATCACACGTTTTCGTGGCCCCATAGGGAGCTCCACCGAAGGCCCCAGCGGCAGGGTCCGCATGGCGTACCCGCACCCGATTCGGCACACCCCTGACACGGTTCGTGGCCCCATAGGGAGCTCCACCGAATGCCTCAGCGGCAGGGTCCGAATGGCTTACCCGCATCAGATTCACCACACCCCTCACACGTTTTGTGGGCTCACAAGGAGCTCCGCCGAAGGCCCCAGCGGCAGGGTTCGCATGGCGTACCCGTCCCATCTGGGCGCAACCCTCACGCGTTTCGTGTTCACACTAAGAGGGCCTCGTCAGGTTTCGAGCAAGCCTGTTCCTGCCCCCCCTGACCTCTGGAGCCTTTTTTGGCCCAAGGAACTTTTTTTTTTTTTTAAACTGGGCGTTCACAGCCCCCACCTTCCCATTCAATTCGAACTCCCCTTCAACCAAGAAGCAATGGCGCACTCCAGCATCGCCGCGTTCGTGGCCGCCTTCGCCGCTGGCCTGGTGGTCTGCCAGCTGGGCAATGCCTTCGTGGCGGCGCCTCTCGGCCAGCGTGGGCTTGATGGCCATATGGAGCTGGCCACGGTGTCCGCGGCGCCTGGCGCGGCGCCCGCCTCTCAGTCGGCGGCGCCCGTCGGAGTCGGCCTGACAATGATCGGGGCGTCCGTGGCCCTCGCCCTGCTCACCAGGGGTGCGCTGTCCAACGCCGCCAGGAAGGCGCGACCGCAGGGTCCCGCGCAGCACAGAGTAGTGATGGCGGCTTTCGAGAGCGAGCTGGGCGTGCAGGACCCCGTGGGTTTTTGGGACCCTGCCGGGTTCACAGCAGATGGTAGCACGGCGAATTTCGCCAGGAGGCGCCAGACAGAGCTCAAGCACGGCCGCGTGAGCATGCTGGCTACGATGGGTTACATCACGCCCGAGATCACCGGCAAGCTGCCCGGCTACTTGTCGCCTTCGGCTGGCCTGAAGTTCGCGGACATCCCGAACGGGCTCGGGGCGATCTCCAAGGTTCCCGCGGCGGGCTGGGCGCAGATCGTGGCGTACGGCGCGTTCTGCGAGCTGTCCCAGGACCAGTCCGCTGGCACCGCTGCCGCCGCAGGCGACTTCGGCTTCAAGGTGCTGACGTCCAGTGATGCCGGGGAGAAGCAGAAGAAGTTGGCGGCAGAGATCGCCAACGGTCGCCTTGCCATGATGGCTATCATCGGAATGTTTTTCCAGGACGGCTTGACCTGGCTCCGCGTGGGGCGACTGGGCGCTCTACACTGGATCCCCGCTGCGCGCGTTCGAGAGCGAGCTGGGCGTGCAGGACCCCGTGGGCTTTTGGGACCCTGCCGGGTTCACGGCGGATGGTAGCACGGCGAATTTCGCCAGGAGGCGCCAGACAGAGCTCAAGCACGGCCGCGTGAGCATGCTGGCGACGATGGGTTACATCACGCCCGAGATCACCGGCAAGCTGCCCGGCTATTTGTCGCCTTCGGCTGGCCTGAAGTTCGCGGACATCCCGAACGGGCTCGGGGCGATCTCCAAGGTTCCCGCGGCGGGCTGGGCGCAGATCGTGGCGTACGGCGCGTTCTGCGAGCTGTCCCAGGACCAGTCCGCTGGCACCGCTGCCGCCGCAGGCGACTTCGGCTTCAAGGTGCTGACGTCCAGTGATGCCGGGGAGAAGCAGAAGAAGTTGGCGGCAGAGATCGCCAACGGTCGCCTTGCCATGATGGCTATCATCGGAATGTTTTTCCAGGACGGCTTGACCGGCTCCGCGTGGGGCGACTGGGCGCTCTACACTGGATCCCCGCTGCGCGCGTTCGAGAGCGAGCTGGGCGTGCAGGACCCCGTGGGCTTTTGGGACCCTGCCGGGTTCACAGCGGATGGTAGCACGGCGAATTTCGCCAGGAGGCGCCAGACAGAGCTCAAGCACGGCCGCGTGAGCATGCTGGCGACGATGGGTTACATCACGCCCGAGATCACCGGCAAGCTGCCCGGCTACTTGTCGCCTTCGGCTGGCCTGAAGTTCGCGGACATCCCGAACGGGCTCGGGCGATCTCCAAGGTTCCCGCGGCGGGCTGGGCGCAGATCGTGGCGTACGGCGCGTTCTGCGAGCTGTCCCAGGACCAGTCCGCTGGCACCGCTGCCGCCGCAGGCGACTTCGGCTTCAAGGTGCTGACGTCCAGTGATGCCGGGGAGAAGCAGAAGAAGTTGGCGGCAGAGATCGCCAACGGTCGCCTTGCCATGATGGCTATCATCGGAATGTTTTTCCAGGACGGCTTGACCGGCTCCGCGTGGGGCGACTGGGCGCTCTACACTGGATCCCCGCTGCGCGCGTTCGAGAGCGAGCTGGGCGTGCAGGACCCCGTGGGCTTTTGGGACCCTGCCGGGTTCACAGCGGATGGTAGCACGGCGAATTTCGCCAGGAGGCGCCAGACAGAGCTCAAGCACGGCCGCGTGAGCATGCTGGCGACGATGGGTTACATCACGCCCGAGATCACCGGCAAGCTGCCCGGCTACTTGTCGCCTTCGGCTGGCCTGAAGTTCGCGGACATCCCGAACGGGCTCGGGGCGATCTCCAAGGTTCCCGCGGCGGGCTGGGCGCAGATCGTGGCGTACGGCGCGTTCTGCGAGCTGTCCCAGGACCAGTCCGCTGGCACCGCTGCCGCCGCAGGCGACTTCGGCTTCAAGGTGCTGACGTCCAGTGACGCCGGGGAGAAGCAGAAGAAGTTGGCGGCAGAGATCGCCAACGGTCGCCTTGCCATGATGGCTATCATCGGAATGTTTTTCCAGGACGGCTTGACCGGCTCCGCGTGGGGCGACTGGGCGCTCTACACTGGATCCCCGCTGCGCGCGTTCGAGAGCGAGCTGGGCGTGCAGGACCCCGTGGGCTTTGGGACCCTGCCGGGTTCACAGCGGATGGTAGCACGGCGAATTTCGCCAGGAGGCGCCAGACAGAGCTCAAGCACGGCCGCGTGAGCATGCTGGCGACGATGGGTTACATCACGCCCGAGATCACCGGCAAGCTGCCCGGCTACTTGTCGCCTTCGGCTGGCCTGAAGTTCGCGGACATCCCGAACGGGCTCGGGGCGATCTCCAAGGTTCCCGCTGCGGGCTGGGCGCAGATCGTGGCGTACGGCGCGTTCTGCGAGCTGTCCCAGGACCAGTCCGCTGGCACCGCTGCCGCCGCAGGCGACTTCGGCTTCAAGGTGCTGACGTCCAGTGATGCCGGGGAGAAGCAGAAGAAGTTGGCGGCAGAGATCGCCAACGGTCGCCTTGCCATGATGGCTATCATCGGAATGTTTTTCCAGGACGGCTTGACCGGCTCCGCGTGGGGCGACTGGGCGCTCTACACTGGATCCCCGCTGCGCGCGTTCGAGAGCGAGCTGGGCGTGCAGGACCCCGTGGGTTTTTGGGACCCTGCCGGGTTCACAGCGGATGGTAGCACGGCGAATTTCGCCAGGAGGCGCCAGACAGAGCTCAAGCACGGCCGCGTGAGCATGCTGGCGACGATGGGTTACATCACGCCCGAGATCACCGGCAAGCTGCCCGGCTACTTGTCGCCTTCGGCTGGCCTGAAGTTCGCGGACATCCCGAACGGGCTCGGGCGATCTCCAAGGTTCCCGCGGCGGGCTGGGCGCAGATCGTGGCGTACGGCGCGTTCTGCGAGCTGTCCCAGGACCAGTCCGCTGGCACCGCTGCCGCCGCAGGCGACTTCGGCTTCAAGGTGCTGACGTCCAGTGATGCCGGGGAGAAGCAGAAGAAGTTGGCGGCAGAGATCGCCAACGGTCGCCTTGCCATGATGGCTATCATCGGAATGTTTTTCCAGGACGGCTTGACCGGCTCCGCGTGGGGCGACTGGGCGCTCTACACTGGATCCCCGCTGCGCGCGTTCGAGAGCGAGCTGGGCGTGCAGGACCCCGTGGGTTTTGGGACCCTGCCGGGTTCACAGCGGATGGTAGCACGGCGAATTTCGCCAGGAGGCGCCAGACAGAGCTCAAGCACGGCCGCGTGAGCATGCTGGCGACGATGGGTTACATCACGCCCGAGATCACCGGCAAGCTGCCAGGCTACCTGTCGCCTTCGGCTGGCCTGAAGTTCGCGGACATCCCGAACGGGCTCGGGCGATCTCCAAGGTTCCCGCGGCGGGCTGGGCGCAGATCGTGGCGTACGGCGCGTTCTGCGAGCTGTCCCAGGACCAGTCCGCTGGCACCGCTGCCGCCGCAGGCGACTTCGGCTTCAAGGTGCTGACGTCCAGTGATGCCGGGGAGAAGCAGAAGAAGTTGGCGGCAGAGATCGCCAACGGTCGCCTTGCCATGATGGCTATCATCGGAATGTTTTTCCAGGACGGCTTGACCGGCTCCGCGTGGGGCGACTGGGCGCTCTACACTGGATCCCCGCTGCGCGCGTTCGAGAGCGAGCTGGGCGTGCAGGACCCCGTGGGCTTTTGGGACCCTGCCGGGTTCACAGCGGATGGTAGCACGGCGAATTTCGCCAGGAGGCGCCAGACAGAGCTCAAGCACGGCCGCGTGAGCATGCTGGCGACGATGGGTTACATCACGCCCGAGATCACCGGCAAGCTGCCCGGCTACTTGTCGCCTTCGGCTGGCCTGAAGTTCGCGGACATCCCGAACGGGCTCGGGGCGATCTCCAAGGTTCCCGCGGCGGGCTGGGCGCAGATCGTGGCGTACGGCGCGTTCTGCGAGCTGTCCCAGGACCAGTCCGCTGGCACCGCTGCCGCCGCAGGCGACTTCGGCTTCAAGGTGCTGACGTCCAGTGATGCCGGGGAGAAGCAGAAGAAGTTGGCGGCAGAGATCGCCAACGGTCGCCTTGCCATGATGGCTATCATCGGAATGTTTTTCCAGGACGGCTTGACCGGCTCCGCGTGGGGCGACTGGGCGCTCTACACTGGATCCCCGCTGCGCGCGTTCGAGAGCGAGCTGGGCGTGCAGGACCCCGTGGGCTTTTGGGACCCTGCCGGGTTCACAGCGGATGGTAGCACGGCGAATTTCGCCAGGAGGCGCCAGACAGAGCTCAAGCACGGCCGCGTGAGCATGCTGGCGACGATGGGTTACATCACGCCCGAGATCACCGGCAAGCTGCCCGGCTACTTGTCGCCTTCGGCTGGCCTGAAGTTCGCGGACATCCCGAACGGGCTCGGGGCGATCTCCAAGGTTCCCGCGGCGGGCTGGGCGCAGATCGTGGCGTACGGCGCGTTCTGCGAGCTGTCCCAGGACCAGTCCGCTGGCACCGCTGCCGCCGCAGGCGACTTCGGCTTCAAGGTGCTGACGTCCAGTGATGCCGGGGAGAAGCAGAAGAAGTTGGCGGCAGAGATCGCCAACGGTCGCCTTGCCATGATGGCTATCATCGGAATGTTTTTCCAGGACGGCTTGACCGGCTCCGCGTGGGGCGACTGGGCGCTCTACACTGGATCCCCGCTGCGCGCGTTCGAGAGCGAGCTGGGCGTGCAGGACCCCGTGGGCTTTTGGGACCCTGCCGGGTTCACTGCGGATGGTAGCACGGCGAATTTCGCCAGGAGACGCCAGACAGAGCTCAAGCACGGCCGCGTGAGCATGCTGGCAACGATGGGTTACATCACGCCCGAGATCACCGGCAAGCTGCCCGGCTACTTGTCGCCTTCGGCTGGCCTGAAGTTCGCGGACATCCCGAACGGGCTCGGGGCGATCTCCAAGGTTCCCGCTGCGGGCTGGGCGCAGATCGTGGCGTACGGCGCGTTCTGCGAGCTGTCGCAGGACCAGTCCGCTGGCACCGCGGCCGCCGCAGGCGACTTCGGCTTCAAGGTGCTGACGTCCAGTGATGCCGGGGAGAAGCAGAAGAAGTTGGCGGCAGAGATCGCCAACGGTCGCCTTGCCATGATGGCTATCATCGGAATGTTTTTCCAGGACGGCTTGACCGGCTCCGCGTGGGGCGACTGGGCGCTTTACACTGGATCCCCGCTGCGCGCGTTCGAGAGCGAGCTGGGCGTGCAGGACCCCGTGGGCTTTTGGGACCCTGCCGGGTTCACTGCGGATGGTAGCACGGCGAATTTCGCCAGGAGACGCCAGACAGAGCTCAAGCACGGCCGCGTGAGCATGCTGGCAACGATGGGTTACATCACGCCCGAGATCACCGGCAAGCTGCCCGGCTACTTGTCGCCTTCGGCTGGCCTGAAGTTCGCGGACATCCCGAACGGGCTCGGGGCGATCTCCAAGGTTCCCGCTGCGGGCTGGGCGCAGATCGTGGCGTACGGCGCGTTCTGCGAGCTGTCGCAGGACCAGTCCGCTGGCACCGCTGCCGCCGCTGGCGACTTCGGCTTCAAGGTGCTGACGTCCAGTGATGCCGGGGAGAAGCAGAAGAAGTTGGCGGCAGAGATCGCCAACGGTCGCCTTGCCATGATGGCTATCATCGGAATGTTTTTCCAGGACGGCTTGACCGGCTCCGCGTGGGGCGACTGGGCGCTCTACACTGGATCCCCACTGCGCGCGTTCGGGAACGGGAGCTCAAGTTCCGCAAGCTGAATGCCGAGATCGCGAATGGACGGCTGTTGATGATGGCAATCATTGGCACGACCAGGACGGCTTGACAGGATCTTCGTTGGGTGACTGGGAGCCGTAGACTGACTCGCCCCTGCGATGAACAGTGTTCGGCGGTGGATTCGACTTGCCGCCGTCATCATCCTCCAGCATAGCTATTTCGACCATTTCAAGGACGCCCCTCCCAGCCCGGCTCCTTTTAGACTTTGATGCCACGTCTTCAGTACAGCATGGAGACTGTGGCCGCATCGTGGTTTGTGGCGCTGATTCCAGCGAGGGCCTTGGCGAGTGCCGATGGGGCAGGTTGGCATCCATGCAGTCAAAACTCATGCCTGATGCTGCTCGGCTTCCTCCCCCTTCTCCAGTCCCCTCTTCTGTCTTCCGCTATATCTGCCACTCTCCTCCATGTCCAGCTCTTGGTCTTCCTGCTTCTGTTCCAAGGGCGCCCTCGAGGGCGCGAAGTTATTCGCGCTTCGCGCTTCGCGCTTCGGCTCCGATTCCTCCTCATCCTCCTCTTCTTCCCTGGGAGGCGGCGCGAGAGCGCGAAGTTATTCGCACTTCGCGCTTCGCGCAGCGCGAAGCGCGAAGTTGGGAGCCCTTGCTGTTCCTGTTGCCGCTCCTCTCCCCCGTACTTGCATCGGCGACCTCCAAATCCAAGTGCAGACTCACAATTTTCTGAATCCTCTTCTCTTCATGCGTATCCGCCTGCTCCATCCGCTCCTGCTGCAGTTGCTGCTCTCCCTATCCCCCCACCTCCCTCTGTCGTCATTCTTATCTAGTGCTTTATGCACCAACTCTCAGGGCAACTCCCGCCACCGTTCTAGGGCAGCGTCGACATAGTTTTCAAACTGTTCCATGGTGGCCCGGACCTATACGCCGGCATTTGTAGACCGAGCCAGTGCGCATGTATCATGTATCAGCATAGAGGTACATGCACATGCGTATGAGCAAACACGTGCGCATGTATATGCACGTGCACATGAGCATGCACACGCTTTCCCCCAAGGGTAGCCCGCGTTTCGATGCATCACGCTGCTGGAAGTCGAGCATCAGTTCCAACGGAAGTGGTCTGGTACACTGCAAGCACAAGTCTTCCGGCTTTCAACTGTGTGCGCATGCGTGGAGGAAGGATCGTGCGATCCGCACACGCGCTGAGCGAGGCGCCCAAAGTCGAGCGATCCACCACAAGGCACGAGGACCATGCAGGGTCGACGGTCAGGCCGCTCCGTCGGTGCGCGCTAAGGCGCGACAAGCCAATCGTGGCGTGCTGCGATGGCAATGCATGCGGGTGCGTGGAGGTGGACCGCGACGAAGTTTGACAAACAGAAAATCATCGAAGCCACTTATGTGCAGGATGCATGCGACGTGCGCGGCGGCGAACACGCACCTTGCATCCTTCCTCCTGCCTCCTGCCTCCTCCCCCCTTCTCCTTCCATTGTGGCTCAAGGCATCCATCTGGTACATGTTTGCGGAGAAGGTGCACAGTGCAGACAGTCATTCTTCCTCTGTCCTTCTTGCATCATTTGTGTGTGATGGCGCTCCTCCCAGGGGCCCTTGCAGCCGACGGTGCTGCCGCGGCCAGCTCGGCCGGCGTGCCGCCCGCCCCTGCAAGCCGGGGAGGTCTTCACGGTGCCCGCCCACAAGGCGTTGGTGATGGCTTGCTGCTGACTGATGACGAGGACATGGCATTGGCCCGTGGTGAACCCACCGCGAAAAAGGAAATATAGCAAGACCACCAGAGGCTTGAAGGAGAGGAACGTCTTATCGATGCGATGAGTTTCAACGTGGACAGGTCCCTGAGGAAACGCGTTGCCCCGTTGACTGCGAAGGTAGATCAGGTATCTTTGAAGGCCGATCAGGCCGATGCCGAATTGAAGCAGTTAGTTGAACATATGATGCCTTTCCGAAGCAGGTTGGATGTGCTCGGACAGGGGCGTTCAGCTGCTGGCGCAGGTTCGGCAGTCGGTGTTTCTTCGGTCGAAGGAGGTGCCTCCTTGGTGGTGTCCGAGACGCCCCGTGCCGTCGCGTAGAACGCTGCGTTGGAGGTTTCGTATATGGAGAAGGCTCGGAACTTCAGACAGTCTTGACCGCGAACCTCGAAACTCTCGGCTAGTCAGCCCAGAACCTCGAGATATCCAAAGTATACGCAGTTGGCGGCTACGCCGAGCGTTGCAAGATCGAGTTCCCCTTTGGCAACCACGCGTGGATCATTCTGGTGGACATGAAAGGCCATGAGATACCAAACCGCCCCGCGTCCAGCGATCGCACCCCTCGCGCCTCAGGAACACTTGGCGCTCGAGATCCTTGGCGCACGATCGACTAGCAGCCACGTGGAATAGCGTGCTCGGCCAGGGCGAAATTTGCTCGTGGTGTGGTGATCGACGCATTGAAGAAGTGTGGTGCGTCACTTGCTGCAGACCAGTTCGGGGGGGCGATGGACTGACTCCTCGGAGGACATGTGCAGCGTGGTCTTGCCCCGTAAATGCGTTCCGAAGTGTGTTTGCGAAGCTCCCCTCAGGCTCTACATGCGCGCGTTCCCGACTTTGAACCTGCTCGTGGCTCCCGGCGCGCAGCCGGTCCTCGCAGTCATGAATCTCGACCTCGCGCTCGAAGAGCTTATTTCCGATATCAACGACCCGCCCAGGGCCCCGGTCCGCGCGCGCTCGAGCCTCGAGACAGGCGTGGGGGAGGTGCGATTCCAGAGCGGACCTCGTGATTGTGGGTGGGAATGCTCGGGGCGTTCCGAGTCGTGGAGTTGCTGATTGTTTCGATCGGAAGGATGCTGGTGGGCGGGTCTACGTTTCCAGGAGCGCGCGGACGTGCAGCGAGATGCGGCTGCTAACGTATGCGGCCCGCGATCGTCGTGCGCCGCGACTATGCGGGCTGCGTGGGTAGTCAGCCTCTTTCCACCTTTGCCGCCATTGCCATTTCTTTCCTCTCCTCCGTCCTGGGGCCCATCTGGCGCGTATGCGGCCATCTCGGGCGCGCTTATTTTCGTGTCACATTCTTCCGGGGCGTCGATGATTTGCCGCGCCTGGTCGACCGGGCCGTAGAAGCCACGGGGCGTTTGTCTTTCAGGATCCAAGCGGTGCGGATGGAAGCGAAGAGCGCGCGCCCAGGTTTGCGGGCCCGTTCGCGGCGGGGGCCGCCGGATGGGAGGGCAATCTCGCGCGTGAGTTTCCGTTTGTGAATCAGCCCGCGGCAGCCGGCGCTTGCGGGGGGCAGCGCGTCTGCTTTTGCAATTGCGCCGTAGAGCCACATCAGATTGACAGGAACACTTGTGCGAGCAAGACCGATCGCCTACCTTTGCGCCCCAGTGCTCTCGGGGCCCCGAGGCCCAGATTCGCGTTTCTTCCTGCGGTGCCTTCCGTGATTTCGGCGAAACCCTTGAAGCGGACCCTCGCGGGCCATTCCATTGGTGTTGAGGCCTAATAGCACGACCCCCCCCCCCCTAAGTTTCTGTCAGTGCGTCGCCCGTGCGCCGCCCGTGCGCCGGGCCCGAGTTTGCGTGTTTGCCCCAATTCCCGACCTCCCACAGCGCGCGGGCGACGTGTGGCGCGACTTCGAAATTTCGCTGGCGACGCATTGGTCTCCGACGCTGGCGCGACAGCTGCCGGTCTTGCGGCCGCGGCGCGCGCGCGTAGTTCGACGGCTCGCCGACGCGCTGTGTATCCCATTCGGCGCAAGAGGATACGCGTGTGCGTCTTTTCGGGGAGCGCCAACCGTAATTGAGGACGAAGGCGCCTCGCGTTGTTTGGGGGCCGCGCGCGTCGCGCCGTGGCGGGGGTGACGTCGCGTCGCGCGACGCGGCGCCGCTTCGATCCGCCGCTTCGCGCCCCGCGCCCCCATGTTGTTTCGCGCCAATCTTCCTGCCCTATCCCCCTCTCCCCTTCCCTCCGTCGGGCGCGCAGCGCGTCTTGTCCCGTTTGCGCAATTATATGGAGCTTTTTGTTGTGTCAGGCTGCCGTCTTGTCCCCTCTCACTACTCGCCCCCCTGTTGTCCTTCCACCCTCCTGAAACTTACCTCTCGCCACCCTCGCCCCCGCCGCCCCCCTTCGATTGCCTCCCATCGCTCCCGCCGCCGCTGCGCCGTCCCCGCGCGCCTCCTCTTCGACCGTCCGTTCCTTCTTCCGCCCGCCCTTCCCCCGCCTCACTTCTTTCCTCTTTCTCTCCCCGCTGCGTCGGCGGGCGAGAGGTCGCCAAGTTGTTGCAGTGGCGCATCGACTTTCAAATTCTGACGGGGGGCGCGCGCGCTGGACATCGATTCTCCTGCGCGCGCCGCATCTCCATGTCGTCTACTGGTATTTCCGTGCTCGCAGTTCCCACGTGCGCGCGTTGCTCTTATTGTGATTGTCGCGCGCATTCCTGGATTGATTCGCCGGCGGGCCGAGCAGTTCGCGCGTCGCCAGAAGTCCGCGGCGCCCTGCGAGCGATTCGCGCGCGACCTGCGCGCGACGCGCGAAAGGCCAGAGCGACGCGCGCGCAATGCGCGCGCGACGCGCGCGCGGCGCACCCCGACCCGCGCGCGACGCACCCCCGCCGGCGCGCGACGCCCAAGCGATCCGCGCGACGCACGCGCGACGCACGCGCCGCGAGCGCGAAGCAAGCTCGACGCACGCGCGACGCACGCGCGACGCATGCGCGACGCACGCGCGACGCATGTGCGACGCAGTTTCGACTTTGCCCGCCCCTAGCTTGCCCCCAAACAGCACCGCGCAGCGGGCGTCGGCCCGCCGCGCATGCGCTGTGCACGAGTGGCGGCGGCTGCGTCTCCACTTGCGTCGGGAAGGCCCGTGTTTCGCCCCTCTTCTTTCCCTCCCTCCTTCCTCGTCGCCCCTCCTCCTTCGTCGCCCCTCCCCCTGCGTCGCCCCGCCTGCCTCCTCTCCCCCCCTCTCTCCCCCTTTCCTCCTCCTTTTCCCTCGCCTCCCTCTGCCCCCCCCTCCCCTACCTCTTTCGTGCCTGTTTTATTCCCCCTTGCCACCCCCTGTCCCTCTTCTCGTCCTTCCCCGTCGGTCTCTCCCGCGGCCGCGGCGCGGGGCCGCGAGGGGCGCGCCCGCCGTGCGCGAAAGTCCCCGCCGCTGGCGTTGGGCCAGGGCGGGCCATGGGGGCGGGGGGGCAGGGGCGCGGGGCGAGCGCGGCGGCGAGGGCGGCCGGGCAGGGGGAAGGGGGGGGGGCGCAGTGAGGGGGTGCTTTTGTAATGGTCATGTTGGTGATCACGGTCGCGGTCGCGGTTGTCGCCTTGGTCGTGATGGCGGTGGTCGCGCTGCTGATGGTGGGCGGGCTGGTGGTGGTCGCGTTGGTGATCGTGCTGGTGTCGGTCGTTGTGGTTGTCGCGAAAACATGGTGGTGGTGGCGGTAAAGGTGACGGTGCAGATCTTCACCGTGGGCGCGATTGCGGTCGTGGCCGTTTGCGTGATGATCGTGGCGGTGGTAGTCGCGGCGCTGGTTGTGGTCGCTGCGGCCGCGGTGGCGGCTGCGGGGGCCTGCCCGGC